TCGCATGATTCTCGTTTGGCGTTTGGTGAATAACGTGGTTAAATGGGCGGAGAAAATTCACCAAATTAAACAGTAGCATCGCTAAACATCAACCAGTGTGGTCATGAGCGATTGGAAATGTACGCTATCCCAACTGGAATCAGTAGTATGCTTGGGACATAAGCTAACGATGACTAGAACGAACGGAAAACCTAAACAAGCGGGACGAAAAGTTATTAGGCCAAGATAGAAGCTAATCTGTTTGAATAGCTTCGTTCCGTAGCAAAACTGTCATTTGGTTGGATATAAAAATGTTTCAGGGGCCACTGGACCTGTAAAATCAGTCAAACTCCGTGGAGATTTCGTCCTCTAACTGAAGCCAATCTATGCTGAAAAGCCGAGAAGCACTGTAGAGCTGTTTCGTCCTTATTGGGAATCATCAGCAGTGCGCATCTCATGAAAATTCGGAGAGTCTCGAATCCGCGATCTCCTGGCTAGCAGTTTGAACGCTTAACCGTTGGGCCACGGGCGGCTGATCAGCAGTGTCATTAAGTCGCACTTGGACAGGATCTAGCGCCGCTCATCCCTCAATGTGGGATCCACATCACACGGTCACACGTGTTGACTGTCTCCTCCAGCAACGAATTCTCAGATGGAAGTTTCACTCATCGGGTGAAGTCTATTCTTCCACTGATAGATTGTTAGTAGTGTGAGGAGATGCGGGGGTAATACGCGTGACCACCTGGTGTGGATCTCGTGAGTAAAGGATGAGTGACCCTGTATCTCGGTTAAGTGCAAGTTCATCACATTACTGATTAGCCGTTCTTGACCGAACGGCTGTTTTCAAACTATTAGCCATGAGGTGGCGGATTCGTGACTTCCTAGGGTTTTGTGAGATGCACACACTCCCAGTAAGGGTGAAACAGCTATACAATGCCTCCAGGCTTTTCAGCATAGATTGGTTTCACTTACAGAACGAAATCTCCACAAAAATCCAAAATCTCCTCACACTACTAACAATCAGTCAAGCTATGTTCTGCGTATCACAAATATGGCTATCAAAAGTAGTACCAAATCATCGACTCTGTCCTTGAAAAGTAGCTCAGAGTAGCCAGCCTGTTACCTGGACAGAGCGAAAAAATCCATTTGCCATCTGTTCACTTTTTGCTTCCAACATAAAGATTCATACCCAGACGTCCTTCGTTGGCTGAGCGAACCAGAACATTTGACTGTTCACCTTACGTGTGAAAATCCAGAGCATCTCTCCCACAAATCCTCTAATAATTTTGTGTACTCCCAAAAGCTTTCCCTCAGAGATTCGAGAGACTCAAGTGAATTCCTCGTTTATGATGTTCTCCAACTGCACAAGAAGGATGAAACCGGTCGTGGGCTGTCGAAGAGTTTCAGCAACCTTGTGAGTAGTCTCTTTATGAGAAAAGACAATCATTTTGTAAACATACCACTCACAGAGGGCAGGATTTAGGTCCTGATCCATTAGGACCACCTCTGCTTTTCGCCAATACGTTTCGGTTCTCCCAATTTACCAATGCAAAAACAGGTTTTTCAACAATTTGTGGGACTTAGCTTGCTCACCTTCACGGTAGCCAACTTGGATAATTATTTTGGAGATGATCATTGAAAAATGTCCAACAATTTTCATAAAGGAAACTACTCACAAGTTTGCTGAAAACCCTTCGACAGCCCACGACGGGTTTCGCCCTGCTTGGGGCTCATCAGGTAGGCACAGTCCTCGAGTTTCCGCCAACCACATATTCTGCTTGAACTCAAATTGTACTGCTTTCGAGAAATACACTCATTTCCAAATCAATTTGGTTTCCACGAGAGACTCAACTGAATCTCTCGCTTATGATATTCTACTGAATTAGGATTCAAGTAGAGCATAAGGTTGACGAAAGCTCGGGGACTGTGCCTACCTGATGAGCCCCAAAAAGAGCGAAACCGGTCGTGGGCTGTCGAAGAGTATTCAACAACCTTGTGAGTAGTTTCATTTATGAAACTACTCGATATCTCGAATATCGTGCCAACTGAAACATGAGGCGGCCTGTGTGCATCACATTCAGTTGTAGAATATCATAAACGAGAGGTTCAGCTGAGTCACTCGTGAAAACCAAATTGATGTGTAAATGTGTCTTACAATTTCTTAACTTATATCGAATCATTTTGGATACCGAGTAGAATCTTGCGCGAAATTTCTAGAAATACCTTAATTTTGCTATTAAATTCGCTTTCATGCCGTGCGTTTGTCCCATTTCCCCTAAAACACCTAGATAGACAGATATTGTGATGAAGCACGGAAATCTGGTTCAACATTCATCCATCGGTCGCAACAATATACTTAAATTATTTCCTGAGACATAGTGTTGCTCACTGTCTGAAAGTTTTCATCAGTATTGCTTTCATCTGATAATTTAAAAGATATTTCAGCTTTTCTTTTACGGGATCAGAGCACAACGAACAAAAAATTTCTAAAAATTTAATGGTAGTAGGAAATCTTGCAGTCTTTTCAAGTATAGATAAGTAGAGAGATTTCATTCTTCAAGTAAAGTTAATCTATGCTGAAGAGCCTGGAACCAGTGTTTAGCTGTTTCATTCACGACGGGTAACATTATTAGTGAACAATGAATGAGATTCCAGGCAAATTAGAATTTGCGATTTTCCAGATAGTGCTCGAAAATTTGGGCCACGAGCAATTGCTCTTTCAGGCAACTCATCCTTCAGTCATCATCATCACCCTCATTATTAGTAGTAATAGTGCACGGGTGCTACTACTGATGGGGAGTCATGCGAGTAGTATGGTTTCTTCTTGTAAATTCGGTTTGCGTCTCTTGAAAAGAGAGATCTATTGCGGACTTTGTGGAGTCGCTTTGTAGCATTTGTTTGGATTTGAGCAACAGTCAACGAATATCTAGGAAAGTTCACGAAGACGCGTTCAAGAGAAGATGGATGTTCAGTTTTTGTAAATAAGATGCATATGTGAGTTTTGCTTCCCTGTCCAATAATCTGTAACTGGTCTAGTTGGTATTTTCTAATAAATAACTCCGCTGCGAAAACCTTTCTTCCAATAGTAGTCCTAGTAGTACTACCTATGACAACCTGTTTGCCGTGCATCGGTCATGACCACCACACTTTTGTTTGTGGATGAGTTGGGGAGATTAGGATATTTCACTCAGTGTTGACATGGCGTGGTCCTTTGCTGGCAAGTCCGTTAGGTCGCGGGTAAAGGAGGAAAAATTTCAACCTGACAACGAACTTCACTCAATTTGTTCAGAAAAGGAGACACCTCACAAATTTTGTTGAGCATTCAACACACCAGTGAGTGTGACTACCTGACAGGCGCTCAGTAGTTGGAATGTGAACACCACAAATTAATTGCACAGTGAGTAACCACTACTGCTAGCCATGGAATGACGGGTTCCCACAGCCAATAGAATGTTGTTAACTTGCTGCATTGTCCCCCCAAAGCGAAGCATGCTAGATGTTACCGAAGGACATATGTTTGGTTTAACAACGAAGTGAAAAGGGTGTTTACTCGGGACTTGGTCAGTCCAGCGTCGGCAAGCTTCATACAAGGGGAATGTTTATTTGAGAGACTAGAACAACTAAATGCAAGAACCTAGGCACCATATCAGCCCGAGATGGTTCAAACAGGTCAGCGAACGGGATACTCTTCGGCCAATGGGCATTTACGGATTCATCCAAACCGAAAGTGTGGCTAACCCATTAACGTAATTCACTTGTTTGAGACATTCATAAGCGAGAGATTTAGTCGGGTTTCGGGTGAGTCTCCTTTGTCAAAGCAAATCAGTATGGAAATGACTATAAATCAGATTCTATGCAATTCAGGTAGAAATTAAGGTTAACGGAAACTTTTTTGAAAAGAAGCAGTGAAAACCGATTGGTCTCAACTTTGCGTGGGTTTGGGTTTTCGGATGTCCCGTATAACTAGGAGTGAACTCAAAATTACCGTCAGTCGGGTTGTGTATAACCTATCTTATATCTCACTTTTTAACTCACTTTATGCCGCCAGTCACTTGTGGTTAGCAGGTCACTTAATCTAAGTAACCAACAAGAGGTCACCGAACATAGTGACTCATCCGCTAACAACAGTCAGTACAAAACCGTAGCACGTAGCATTTTGTCAACCGTGTTTTTCATCCACAGTATGCTTGACCAGACTGTTAACAGGCAGCTAATACACATGAGGTGCTCCCGATCGGCCGGAATACGTCCTACGTACAAGTTATGAGATGGTGACCTTTCCACAAGAAGGTTAATTCCGACATAAAAACCTCTCCGAGATGCTTCGCACTCATCGTGCGGTGAGGCATCTGTCACTTATCCTTCAAGCCTGGATTGCCTCCAACAGATGATTTGAAACTCTGTGAACGCACCCATTGTTGACAAGCTCGTACAATTTTCCAATCATCCGTTTCATTTCACATCCATTTATAAGTGTTCACCTCTGACCTTTTTGTTTAACTCTCAGTCCTTTGAACCAACTTTGTGTACCCCATTCACTCTACTGTCGCACGGATTCTATACCCTCCTCCTTTATCCCTTTCAACAGAAAATATTGATAAACCCTGTTTCATACTGTGGTTCCACCAACCCATGAAAATCAAGTTTTAGAATTCCATTTCATAAATCTCCGGACAGGTAACATTTAATGTCTTTCGTAAAAGAGCATTTGTCAACTTTGACCATCGACGCTCACCGCTCATGCAGTTTGGCTTTTCCTCTTATTCGCACAACCAAAAAGAATCTAAAAACCATCTCAAATCCTGATGGTTGTATTTTAAATTACATTCTCCGGTGGAAAATTGGTTATCTTCCATCTGAAGCATGAACGGAATGAGCGATGCACACCCACACGACCAATTTCTCAGACCTCAAGTATGCATTGTCTATTAAAATTTACTTCAGAACAGCATTTGTACATATGCCCTTGTCACTCCCCTAAGCATTGTTCAGCTGTAACATCCGTTCGGTACCTAGCTGCCATGCACGGGGCTGGGATACTGCCAGGTTGCCCAGGCCTAGACAGAGGAAGCCGGGAAGCAGGGGGTCGGGCTCGAACCACGGACCTTTCGGTCAGTAAATTCGCGCTCTAACCACTGTGCCGTCTCGCCCCTACTCAGGGCTTATCACTAATTCTCGTCAACACTCACTCATTACGTGGGAGTAGAAGAACCAAGCACCACAAGTCTACTTGTCTTCTTCCAAACCTTTCAAGACGGTGTTTTGGTGAAAAAACAAATGTTACAAATGGATCAATGGTGGACTCTCATGGGCTCAAACTCGACCAATTTCCAGGTTAATCACTGAAGACTCACTAGTTACCCAGGTTAGCCGGTTATGATAGGTCAGATGCTACAGACGCACATGACCACTAGTAGCAACTAGTACTACACACTACTTAAATCTATGGGTCCGAATGTCGAGGAACTCAGGATATAACTACGGGCATTGCTGAGATTGGAATTTGGGTCACTATAGAGGAGCAAAAGCTGAAACTACCCTCGATCAACAAAGTGGTTCGCGAAACCTACAGCAAAACATCCACCACACTGCCCAAAATGACCCCGAAGCTGATGAATTCCTCCCTTGCCTCCTCCAACAATGCCGGAATAAAATTTGATGCACAAATCTAGTCACCCGATAACAGCGGTAGTCTGCTTTAAAAAGTTGTAGGCCACTTCCGTCAGTTGGTAATTGATCAGGTGGCCGTTGATCTGTTCGCTTGGCAATTGATTTCCAAACGTTTCGCCACCATTTGAGGAGCAATCTTCAGTGCACTGAAGAAGGGTTCACCTCTAAATTTCTTGTCTAACTCTGTCTTTTAATCCAACTTTCTGTCCCCAATTCAGCTTACTGACAACTGCATATGTACAAATGCTGTTCTAAAGTAAAATTTCATAGACAATGCATACTTGAGGTCTGAGAAATTGGTCATGTGGATGTGCATCGCCCATTTCGTTCATGCTTCAGATGGAAAATATCCAATTTTCCACCGGAGAACGTAATTTAAAGTACAACCATCAGGATGTGAGGTGGTTTTTAGATTCTTTTTGGTTGTGCGAATAAGCGGGAAAGCCAACCTGTATGACCGGAGAGCGTCGATGGTCAAAGTGGGCAACTGCTGTTTAGCAAAGGACATTCAAGGTTACTCGTCCAGAGATTTGTGAAATGGAGTCCTGAAACTTGATTTTTACGGGTTGCTGGAGCCACAGTGTAAGACAAGGTTTGTCAGTATTTTGTGTTGAAAGAGCTAAAGGAGGGGGGCATCGAATCAGTCGACAGTAGTGTGAATGGGAGACGGAATATTGGATTAAAGGTCTGAGAGTTAGACGAGGTCAGACGTGAACACTTCTCCAGCGCAATGAAGATGCCTCCTTAATGGTGGACTCTCATGGGCTCAAACTCGACCAATTTCCAGGTTAATCACTGAAGACTCACTAGTTACCCAGGTTAGCCGGTTATGATAGGTCAGATGCTACAGACGCACATGACCACTAGTAGCAACTAGTACTACACACTACTTAAATCTATGGGTCCGAATGTCGAGGAACTCAGGATATAACTACGGGCATTGCTGAGATTGGAATTTGGGTCACTATAGAGGAGCAAAAGCTGAAACTACCCTCGATCAACAAAGTGGTTCGCGAAACCTACAGCAAAACATCCACCACACTGCCCAAAATGACCCCGAAGCTGATGAATTCCTCCCTTGCCTCCTCCAACAATGCCGGAATAAAATTTGATGCACAAATCTAGTCACCCGATAACAGCGGTAGTCTGCTTTAAAAAGTTGTAGGCCACTTCCGTCAGTTGGTAATTGATCAGGTGGCCGTTGATCTGTTCGCTTGGCAATTGATTTCCAAACGTTTCGCCACCATTTGAGGAGCAATCTTCAGTGCACTGAAGAAGGGTTCACCTCTAAATTTCTTGTCTAACTCTGTCTTTTAATCCAACTTTCTGTCCCCAATTCAGCTTACTGACAACTGCATATGTACAAATGCTGTTCTAAAGTAAAATTTCATAGACAATGCATACTTGAGGTCTGAGAAATTGGTCATGTGGATGTGCATCGCCCATTTCGTTCATGCTTCAGATGGAAAATATCCAATTTTCCACCGGAGAACGTAATTTAAAGTACAACCATCAGGATGTGAGGTGGTTTTTAGATTCTTTTTGGTTGTGCGAATAAGCGGGAAAGCCAACCTGTATGACCGGAGAGCGTCGATGGTCAAAGTGGGCAACTGCTGTTTAGCAAAGGACATTCAAGGTTACTCGTCCAGAGATTTGTGAAATGGAGTCCTGAAACTTGATTTTTACGGGTTGCTGGAGCCACAGTGTAAGACAAGGTTTGTCAGTATTTTGTGTTGAAAGAGCTAAAGGAGGGGGGCATCGAATCAGTCGACAGTAGTGTGAATGGGAGACGGAATATTGGATTAAAGGTCTGAGAGTTAGACGAGGTCAGACGTGAACACTTCTCCAGCGCAATGAAGATGCCTCCTTAAATGGTGACAAAACGTTTGCAAACCAATTGACAAGCTCGGCGAACAGATCAACAGCCACCTGATCACCTACCAACTAATGCACCCGACCTACCAATATACCAACACATTACCAACTTCCATCAGTTGCAATTGTTTATACGCACTAGACTGAGTAAAACATCTGGTGATTCACCTTCACTAGGCTTCCTGTGGAAAAAAGCGGTTTTGGTTAATTCTGATTTGTTCAGTACATGTGCGAATTTCCAAGGCATTTCAGAAAATTCGACCATGCTGCCAGCACTTTTTCTCGAAGAAGTAGAATACGATGATGGGGGGCTATATCTCATTCAGTTCCGCATACTACTTGTCACTGCATCTTTCGGTGAAAAAAACTAGAATCGCCTGATCTATCGTCCCGCTTTCTCACAGTTCGTTTATATACGGAAAGACCATGGCAAGACCCATTTGTATCAAGCGTGAAGGGCTTTTAGGGTGTTAACGAAGCTCTGCAATAGTCAAAAGGCAACACAACGAACGTGGAATGTTTGTATGATCATAGTTCACTTCCTGCTTCAAAAGCCATCCGTAGACACTTTCTAAGCCTTCACGGAACTTCAATAAACTGGCTCTTCCATGAATGTGGATGAGTGCTTCCAGTCCCATGAAGGGTCAGTAAGTGATGAACGCAACCTAATCAAGAGTAAAAGCGTTAACGGCGGTTGGACTGACTTACTCCAACCGAAAAATGAGAAAGCCAGTTTCAAACAAATGTAAATTAGTCTCAATCCGACGAAGGCTCATAATTTGTCCGTCTGTCAGCAACTCTCAACTTTTCTTTCCATATTCGGCATGGGTAAAATATGTCGAACCGAATAACTCTCCACACTCCACAGACCCCATTCAGTACGCGGTTGTCCCTTGCATTGTGCTCCGAAAGGCAAGCCCGCACCTTGCCGCAATGGTTCCCCACCACCCCCCATCCCTACAGCTGATCTGGTACATAGTTTGACCAAAGTTCGTTTTCGGTAATTTCTACTCAGGTCATACGACCAAGTTAGTTTTGACTTCGACTATAATCTACATAGTAAAGTTATGGCAACATACCTAACTATTGGTTGTCCGGATGCGTTCATTGGTTGTTGGTCAGGTGGCAGTTGATCTGTTCGCCGGGATTGGCTTGTGCACGTTTCATCCAAATGAGACGGGATCGCCAGCGATTACTCACGGTAAAATAGATTCCAAATAGACTACTTCACATCGCACGAGTAGACACAATGAGGAGTAAAATTTAGGTTCGGTAATGCGATATGGTACCAGAGTTGGCTGCAGCAGTTTCGACAAGAATGGAAGTGTCCCTAAATTACGGAGTTCCTCCCCGTGATGTTTCGTGCAAACGACGGATGAAGTATTATTACTGTTGAGAGGTTATCTATCGGTAATCGATGACAAACGTCCATCAGTTGACCATCGAACCTGAAAATTTTGCTTCCAAATCAGTGGCGAGATGGCTCAGTGGTTAGAGGGCGAATTTCCTGACCGGAATGTCTGTGGCTCCGACCTCCTCCTCTCGACTTCCCGTGTCTAGGCTTGGGCAACCTGGCAGTAACCCAGCCCTCATGTTTTCTCTGGGTGACATGGCAGCTAGGCACCGAAAGGATGTTACAGCTGAACGATTATCTGTGGAATCGTTCTTTTTTTGTGAAAACTGAAGACCAACCACCTCCTCGAGTAACTCCCTCATATTTGTTGTATTCATTTACATCGTTATATAATTCCGTGAGCCTAATGCAAGACCCAGACGGCTTAGATAACCCAAGACCTTGAACGATGGATAACTACAGACTCACAGACTAACGATACTCAGGCGTAGTTACCAGTGGAACACCTGGTAGCTGTATCTATCAATAAATGCTCGATTCCCTAACTGGCGAACAGTTGCGTGCAGTAAGTAGTTCAGACAGTCTTCGCAACCAAGTACAAACACTGAGGCTGCAATTCCCGACCCCTCCCCAAGCATCTCCTCCGCCAAAACTAACCTCGTAACAATTCAGCGAACACAAGTCTGTCATGCCCCTAAAAAAATATCCTTTATGGTTTACATGAGTTGGGCATGAATGAATTAACGGCAGCGTTGACTTCGAATGACCACTTTGGTGTGCGCGTGGATCCTGCCACCAAAAGATCGAATCGCACAGCAGCGAGCATACTTTCATCTCGAACATCTCATCTGATCATACTGCATAGGCAAACAGTCACACGCCGTCAAACTACTTCGTTTAAGTGAAAAACGTTATACCACCGAGCAAAAATTCGTTTGGGAACACGAACGCGTTTCACACAGTTGGAGCCAATAAACCACTTGATCTTTATTCCAACCATAAAGGAACAACGACAAATTGCCGAAGCATGTCTAATGCAGTCAATATTACTTCAAAGCCCAACCTGGACAGCGGGGGGACAAAGCCAATGGCATCAGTCAGGATTTCCTCTAAATTTGTTCACATCATCACAGTGAGTCAGATGCCTGATTAGCACCACAAACATCAGTAACAGGGTTATTCACGAGCTGCATCTGTGAGAAGCTGAACTGCGCAAGATCAGAGCACACTCAGAGTGTTAACACAAGTCGCCGTAAATTGACCATCAGCACGTGTAGGAACATGCTCAAGTCAACCGGTGAGGAACTAGAAATAATATGGGACTATGGGAGTAATGGGAACCGTACTGCCAATACGTCCACAAAGCTGTTTAACCCTGAGTGAAATTGGTGAGGGGATATCCACGAGCTTCAGCTAAAAATGGACCACCCTACTGTGCTTGTGCGCGAATAGGAAAGATTGAATCCTACGATATCAAAAGACATGGGATCAGAGTCGCTTGGAAAAGGCATGTGTACTATATCCGTGCAGCGCATGCAATAAAACAAAATGGATACAAAAAAAGGCCTGGAAGAAAGCGGGGGGAAAGCATGCACTAGGAAAGATCGAAGCAAGTCTACTAGTCTGTGCCCAAATCAATCATCCGAATCATCCGATTCGTCAGATAAGTGGTCCCGACGACCCAGTCTGTTCGTAGACCGACCAGTGATGGTGGAAATCTGAATGCGTTTGGTCGGATCTTCAGTCAGTTTGCTTTTGAGCACACCCATCTGTGCCAGACGCCATTCAAGACCTGGGTGAACCAAGAGATGAGGACAATGTAGTGGGGTGAAACAGCTGAGAAACAAACGTGGATAATTAAGCACAGGCATCTGAGGCATTATAACTTTAAATGAACAACCCGGAAATTCGCACCGGACCACGTCAGTTAATCTACGGTAGGCTTTCCCGCAGCCGGACTTATGCATACATAAGCTAGCGATAACTGGTAATAGTGCGTCTGTCAGTGTCCGCTACGTGTGGTTGATGCCATATCCTGCCCAAACACCGGTTAGTCACACTACTGATCAGCCGCCCGTAGTGAAGCGGTTGTCTTCAACCGCTATCCGGAAGGATGCAAGTTCTCTGGAGCTTCACGCGATTCGCACCGCTAGTGACGCCCAATAAGGGAAAATTAGCTGGACAGTGATCGTTGACTTTTCGACACGGATTGACTCGAATTGCAGGACGAAAAAGCAAACTTCTCAAATGTCCCTATATTGCAAACAGGAAAAAATGCCCGATTTTCTATGGTTCGTAGGAAGCACATCAATTGTTTGTTTCATCGGATACGTCGAATACGTCACCTTCAAGTGAGAGTAAATATTAATCGTACTGCTAGGGCAGATGGGGGTGAAACATCCAATAACTCTTTGACACAGTACATGCATATGACGGTTGATGATTGCTGTCAATCAAGAAGGAATCGGACCATATTTTCTAGCCTGACGGTTTGAAAAATGACAATTATGTATGCTAGCTTCACCAAACACCAATGACAGGGTTTATATTTCGAAGAAGTGTCAGTGTTTCGGGGTTCTTTGGGCATGAGAATCGATTGCAATTAAGTGAGATAAAGTAATGTGCTCGATCGTTAAGACTTGATTAATTATCTGCTGCGGGCCATCGCTGTGCGCTCAAAGTTGTTTGACAGTCACGCTAAGTCTATTCCGATCTGTGTGAATGAGTGATCTTCGCTCAGCATTGTACCAGACTCATGTACCTGCTCGTTCCTTCTTGGATTGTGCCACACACGTTGCGACTGATGGAACCGTATGAAATTCATGCCCGCTTTCTATTATTTAAGTGAGATGGACTACAACAGGGACCTCTTTCGTACCTCCCCATATTTCACGTTCGACTTAACGATTGCTGCACAACAGACAGCCCACGCTGAACCCATTTGCATCATTCGTTGGGTCTGCTAGTCCCCAATCCTAATCGCAGGTGCACTGCTTAAACCGAATTGCACAAAATGGCTGATAACCAAACAGGGGATCTTTGAAAGCACATAAAACGGCGAACCAAGCTGCACCATGTTGAATAACGGAAAGATTCATGTACCTTTGGAGGTAATAGACTTGCCACCAATGGCCTCCGGTCCAATCAGTTGATGTTTCAAATCGCCGGCTTGATAGATGAGTAAAGAGGGAAGATTCCGTTCGGGATAGTCTGGAATGCAAAGTGCGGATTCCCCCCGAAGAAATTTGACGGCAGGGAATTTCCGAGCTAATTCGACCAGATGCGTGTCCACAATGTTACACAAGAGGTGTCTAAAGTAGATAAACGACAGTGCGTAGACAAATGTGGCGTCAAAGTGAATATCATTCAGAACATGGGAGAAAGTTAGCTGGTAAAGTAACAGATTTTCTGGCTCACTACTCTGAGATGAGCAAGGGAAGAGGTTCTTATTTGTTGTGCCGAAGTCCCAGTGATGACTTATGGAAAAAGGGCCAGTGTGGCCTGTTCGAAAGAAAGTTTGATAAATAAAGGGACCGATATATCCGCATGACCACTCCACTAGGAAAGGTGAGAAAAACAGTCTGAGTAAAACAGGAAATTGTCTGAATCCCTCCTCACGTATTTATTGCCCCCAAACTACACTAACTCCCAGAGTAAGCAAAATCGTCTGGTCACCTGGGGCTCTTAACAGTGAACCCAAATCACTGACAATAGCCACCAACTGAGTGAACCAGTTACAGATTGTCGCTCTGCTTGGAACACTTGGGTGGATTCTGATCACCCGCCCTTCCGATGTCACTTGCAAGCATGCTTTTCGGGGCCGCTTGTACACCGGAAAACCCGTTTGGAAAAGCAGGGGTTGACAGGATCTGATACCATAAGAATTTACCAAAACAATTTGTAATTCAAACTGACTGGTCATCTGAAATCGACTTTCACTAGAATGTGACCGCCAGACTATTACATAATGTTCGGGCCACTGCCAGGACTAAAACAGGTTGTGAACGTCGGATCGCACAGGACATTTCCTGATTCTCAGGAAAGTGCCTCCATTGGTGACACATATTATTGAATAGGGCACGTCACCGGACGCCCAGTGAAAATGAGTGTGTGTAGCGGCCACCAAGCCTGTGCGATGAGGACGGTTGTGCCTGCAAATTACTCCAGACATTGTTCAAAAGCTGTCTGTGAGTTAAACTATTAAGAGCAAGTTGGGTGGAGGGGGAAGAAAACTAGTTTTATTGCAAAACAATATCAAGTGCCCTCCCCAAGTAACCTGCAGCACAGTAACCACCTGAAATATTTTAACCACTGTAAGAATCCGGCAACCCAACAATCTGTATACGGCAACCTACAAATGCATCACATCATGCTGTTTGTCTCGTTAATAAAAAAAAACTCAAAATCAAATCGTCCAAATGTAGCATCCTTTCGGTGCCTAGCTGTCATGCCAACGGAAGGAGGCACGAGGATACCGCCAGGTTACCCAAGGCAGGACCAGTCGGGATGCTGAGGTTGGGTTCGAACCACGGACCTTCCTGTCCATAAGCTGGCCCCTTAATCACTGAGCCACTTCAAGCTCATATGAAGATGTGTCTGTAACGGAAGTCAAGACAACAGTCCGCCTGGAAAGATGAAACCATAAATTAAAACCCAACTAAGGGGTCAATATTCATCAAAGGTTAGCATGGTGCATATCAACTTCAACTTTTAAGCGCCGGAACAACAAATGTAGTGCAACTGTGCAACATTTCGCTCTTATGATTAAATCATTATCATCAATGATAGCAACACCGGATGGGAACAGTGGCGTTTCACCGCCGCACATCCATGTTAATTTATTTGAATAAAGCCTTACAACATAAAGAAAGGCACGCAGCAAAAGAAGAATATAGGGCTAGGCTACCATAAGCATACGAGGTACCTACAACTCCAACACTCAGTCAGGCAATCTGGAGGGAAACTGACAGCATGAATGCCACTGACATCAGTTAGCCGCCATACCGTTCAATGTCTCCAACCAAGCACGGGGACGGTCACGTAGACCTCATCCAGCACTCACAGCGCCCAAACACCTTATACACTCGGAAAATCGAATGATTAAATCAACTTAAAAACCCACCCGCGTTGAGCTACGTGTATTACCACATAAGCGTCGCCAGCGCCAGAAACCTCGTTCTTCCAATCCGACTTGGAAATTTCACGAACTTGTCCAAATTTAGCTAGACTCGCCTCTTCCTGGAGTTTTGCCAGCCGCTTGCGCCTATATTCTTCCAAGAACTTCGCGTCCTCTTCATCTAGTCCTCCATCTTCTGCCAGGTCCAACTTCTCCTCTAGTTCGTCTGCCGTTAACTTCTCTAACAGACTTTCTAGAACCATAGTTAGGTGCTGCAACCTAGAATAACTTACTTGGATCTGGCGGAGAAGGAGGAGGTTTTTCAACAACACTGACCTTCGGTGGTAATATGCCTTTCTTTCGCAGGATATCATTCCATTCAGTGTCCTCATCTGGATTCTTACTATGCGTACAAAAAACAACTGAAACTACAAACCTGCATTATTGAACCAGCTCACAGTCGGTTGCTGGCGAAGGACGGCTGTACAGAGGTAAGGTGTATCATGCCAGTTACACGTAATTCGATTGGAACACAACATAAAAATTAAGAATCGGTAACCGTGAGTAGCACAAAGCGATTCCTGGGTAACTGATGGGTCTCGGAATGACAGACGGAGGTGTGCAGTACAAGTCGTCCGAGATGCCGTTTCACCGAAAGCGAACGACTCATACGGATAAAAGTAGAGTGGCCTCGGTAAATTTTACGAGATAACCACAGGTTATAAGCACGTATCATTTTGTATACGAATAACGAAGAAGCCAGGAACTAGCATCAGTAGGATTGAATCGTGGGTTTCGGTTTATAAATAAAGGGGGAAGAGAGCCAGGCGGCGTTGGTAATTACTCCGATCGCCCTCGGGACCAGCCAGTGAATGGCTAAGGCTGACTTCACAGGAGACAGTTAAATAAGAATGCTTACGGATGCAAGGGGAGAATCAAGGCGACGACACAAAGATCTGACGAACTGTAGGAATGGAGAAGTGCAGAACGTAGTCGGGTGGGTATGAGGTTAGAAACAGAAGTGGGGTTTAACGGTGGGGCGAGATAGACCAAGTGGTTAGAGCGCGAATTTACTGGCCGGAAGGTCCATGGTTCGAGCCCGACCTATGTCTCTCGACTTCCCTATCTAGGCTTGGGCAACCTGGCAACATCCCAGCCCTCGTGCCTCCTTCGTGTGGCATGGCAGCTAGGCGCCGAAAGGGTGTTACAGCTGAGCTATTTTTTTAGGGTTTAACGGGTATCACCATTGCAATCCGAAGAGATCTGAACACCCGGGTGTTCGAGACGTTCCGCAGTCTGCCTCGTTACTCCATCAATGATGACCGTATACGAAGTAGAGTGGATGCATGTCAGAAACTCCTGCTGAGAGAAAAACTTTTAGATACTGATGCTTCACTGCCGTAAAACCACAAGGGTTTGCTCGAATCTATTCAAAATCTTAGTTAAAAAGACTGAAGAAAGAAACTGATGCTAGCCTATCGCTACCATCCGATACCAGTAGCAGTTATGAAACATCACTGATCAAACAATTAAAAAGGGCCTCAGATTATCAGCCTACAAAGTCCGTGTCCCGTAAACCTGTGACAATAGTTCTTACGGTTGATGACTCTTGAGACCGTGTCCCTTTGGGGTGCATTCAGAGATTTCACGCACTGAAGCACAACAGTATCGTGGAGGATACTGTTTTGCATCCATCTTCATAGATTAGAAAGACGATAAGGTTCGCATTGGAAACTATTTGATCACGGGGATTCTGAAGATCCTCGGCATTCGCTTCATTATGCCATCGAAAATCAAGTCAAATTAAAATTAGGAAAGTGCACCTAATTGCCAGACATCACTTGATATAGGGAAACCCTTTAGCGACCACCATAGTTGTTCAGCTATAACACCCTTTCGGTGCCTAGCTGCCGTGCCACCTGTGAATATTCGACTATAAGAGTCTGACTTTCCACTTCCATAAGAGCTCGTACTGGTCGGAACGTTAAGCACTCCTTGTGTCATGCCCATTTATTAACCAGCAAACTGTAGCTCTGATTCAGGGGAAGACACCTATCGAGAACTCACCTTCAGGAACAGCTTTGACATGGTTATAATAGAATATTACAATGCACAGGCGGAACGAAGCAATCTGGATGCAAAAAGCAATGATAAGGGTGAACGCCATTCGCGACTTTCCACTGATCACCAGTTATTTTCCAGCAGTACTTGGTTTAAACGTAATGGATGTCGACGCACCACCAGACTCCACGCACTGCTGAGCAGCTTTGGAGTCGATATGACCGGACTGTTGGTGGGTGCGTTTTTTCATTACACAAACTCAGATAACGACCTGGTTTAGTGCAGTGTTAATAAATTTCCCCAGTAAACCCTTTAAACCAACTCCTTAGTCAGCAGCAGGAAAAACCCAATCAACAACCTGGGGAGACATGCCAAAACGTGTTGTACAATGCATCACCAGCAACCCCGTAGGAGGATATCGACCGCAACTGGGTTGACACCAATACGACTGTACGTAACACCGGAAGGAAACCAGCGCCGAACTTCGTTCTGTGAAGTGAGGGTAGAATTCGGTGAAATTCAACAAGACGACGCTTCAAATATAACCAGAGAAGTGGACAGGGAAGTATGGCGCAACCGGAAAGTCCAAGAAATAGAGGCCACTGCGATTTGGAGCAAACGGAAGAGGTGTCGGCTAACCCAAAAAAGACAATACCGAAACGACTTTCACTGAGTTATTCGAAAATAACATTGGGGAATTAATGTATGTAAGGACAAGTGTTTAGATCACCGAGTGCACTATTTCCAACAAAAATCATTGTGCTGTAGCACCCTTTTAGTGCCTAGCTGCCATGTCACCTGAAGGAAGCATGAGGGGTGGGATACTGCCAGGTCGCCCAAGCCTAGATAGAGGTAGGGGGCTGGGGTCCGGCTCGAACCACAGACTTTCTGATCAGTAAATTCGCGCCCTGATCACTGAACCATTTCACCCTTTCCAAAAGAGTTCCGTTGTCTAGTTTTACATGTGCCTGTGCCTTTAGTTCAACCGCCCCCCCCCCCATTTATAGCGATAGTCTGTGAAATACTATCGGCCTGCAGGGCCAGACTACCTCACCGTAACGTGACCCGCATTAGCCAGGTTGATCATTGTGCTCACTTCGAAATCGCGCCTGAAGAGTGACTAAGACTTAGATTATACGTGTTACGCCACTTGATTTTGCCGGTTATTTGTCCGCACGGAGTAATCATCATCATCGGGAGCATGACATCAGTGTTCGGCACTGAGGCTTCGCTGCTGTGCCATGTGGGTGGGTTGGGATACTGTCAGGCCACCCACATCTAGCAGAAGAACGATTAGGGACAAAAGTCTGCAGCTCAAAAGTATGATTGTAAGTCAGCGGAACAAGTTGGCACAGATGTTCCCAACAACAACCTAGAAGACCAGGAGACTCTTCGTCAGAACACCCTAAATAGAATACCGAAAGCGGTTCAGTGTCCAGAACTGCGCTTCAGACCTCCCCATTTGAGTCCACTTTGCGGATTCTTCATGCACTTCATCCGTTAAAACGCCAGATTGAAAAGCTGATTCCCGAAAATTAACCGCCGCACAGGTCGTGGTCGTGTCACGAATGTTAAATACGTAAACACTGTTCGCTACATCGCCATTTATGGCGTCAACAATATACTTCGTTCAAACTAGAAGACGGTGCATACCAGGCACCTGTATGCGCTGTTTGTAATACGGTTGTGAGCTGATAAACAAGTTTCGAGTTGGCCCTGCGATCCGGCGACCAGCTTCAAAAGATACCTAATCTCGACTAGGTTGAGACGAAAAAACTTCAGTGAGCAGCTTGTCGCTTTTCACTGCAACTACGGTAGTTCTCTCGTTCCACCAAACCTCCAAATAAAGCCTCGCAAGTAGAGAGCAAAATCAAGGTCAGCTGGAACAACCTCTGATATCTGAATCCTCAAAAGCCCTGTGGTTGGGTCAACAAGCTGTACCGGCCATCCGAGCTGCCGTAATTTAAACCCAATCAGCATTTTGACTGAAATTATACAGGAGAAGAAGGATCGCGTTGGCCCGTCCATGGAAATAACTGCTACCGTTCGTAAAGGTGTGCCGCGAGTGGCTACCAGCACAGTAGCCACAACCTGGTTGGTCAGAATGTAGACCACTCAAAATCGAGTAATCACAGCTGGGCGAACACGATTCTATCAAGGCGGCTGTGATGGACGTG